AATTAGAGATATTAATATTTGAATATACTTTTATCATCTGAATGTTATTAAAAATTATTATGAATTTATTAAACTATAACAGTAACATAAAAGAACTATACACAATAAAATCTGTCCAAAACAGAACCTGAATAAAACATAAAAATTCTTTGCAAGGAAGCGATTTTCTACTTTTAAAAACAAAAAAAACCTGTTAAAAACGAAAACCTTTCAATCCGGAAAATTCCAGTTTACACAGGTTTTACTGTATTTAAATTATTTTAATATATGAGAAATAATATATATTAAAAATTAAAATTTAATATATATGTATATACAGATGCTTATTAAAATTTAAGATTTACAATTTTAATAAACGAACGTCTGGTTGTCTGGCTGGATGAATATATATATAAATTCATTCTGTAAATATTTATTAAAAAAAACAGGGGAAGAATTTTATGACAGAATAAATAGAATAATACATGCCAACAATTCTAAATAATTCATAACAAATTTTGGAGTATCAACACTCAGATTTTTCTAAAAATGTCAGAGCAAGTAAATGGCAAAAGGGAAGTTCTTTTTGTTATGGAAACTTTGTCCATCCGGAAATAGCAATTTATTAAGAAAGCAACTGTTCTCCTCCCGGGTAAAAAGTACAGAAAAAATAAAAAATAATAAAAAAAAACCAAGTTTACGTTTATTAAATCGGAAGACAGGTTTCGATTCACTTCGTTTTCAATTTCTTCCCTTTTTTTTTCTTCCTACTTCTTCTCTAGGTTATCTCCCTTCAAGAAAATGTATATATATATGTATATATATATTTTTCCTGGCTTTGAGAATTCTACTTTTTTGAACATTTTAAGTTGACATTTTGAACAACATATGCATGTCAATCGCCAGAATATCCTTCAGACGTGTGCCACTCATGAAAAGATATCGCTTGCCTGTTAAAGTTCAACTTGTCACTTCTATAACAGTAAAATGCCCTTAACGTCAACATTTCGACAAGATCCCACGGTCACTCTAATAAAAAAATGTACAGTTCTTATAAAAATTTTGTAAAAAACTTTTTCAATTTCCATGCATTTTCATCACACACATCGATACTTTTCCCCCTATTTGGGGAGGTAAACTATTAAAATTTTAGCTCTAGTGGGATTCCTCTATTGTTAGAGGAAACCTCCATATCATATATATACATATACAATATATATATATTGATAAACTTTTCATATTTCTGCATCATGCTAGAGAGAAATTGTTTTGCAGCATTCGTGACTACTTTTAAAGTCGTTTACCTGGAAATAATTCTAAAACAAAACAGATTAAACTATGTAATTAAAACTTGTTTTATATATTTTTTTAAAGGAATTTCCACATGAAACTTCGTTAGTTTGAACACGAAAACATGGTGTAAAATGTAACCAAAAATAAATAGTTAAAAATATTTATAGGGATTTTATAGTTTTAGTATTAAAGTGTTTTTGGGGATGAAAGTAGAAGCAATATTTGGCAGATTTCCAAACCAATTTGCCACCACTTTCACGTATCAGGGCAACGTTATCCCTCCAAACTGCCACTATTAGCTCTAACTATATAACGTAGCCGAGATAAGGGCGAGAAATAGTCGATGGGTCTTACCTTTTTTTGTAGTGGATAAAAAGTGAAAGGGAAAAAAAATCCTTTTACGGATTTTATGCTTTGAAAAGTGACTTTAAAATGTAATAACCTGAATGTCATGAATAGTTTAGAGTGAAGACTTTAAATAACTTAAACCTTATTTTTATCTTGAAGAAAAATTCTCTTTTGGCTGTCAAATGCCATTTATATAAACAATAGGTCTTTACTTTACTCATAATATTCTTCTACAAAAAAATATTTTATAAAATATTCTCACACGAGTGGAGATAAAGTAGAAATTTTCTGCGTTGAATTATTATAAAATTAACATAAAAATCTTAAAATTTATCTACTCAAATCAGATTATATATCTTAAATTTTAATAAAAATATGTAGAAAATTGTTAAATGTGTCAGAATATCAAAGATAATATATGAACTCTGCCATCCAAGTACAAATTACAGATTCATTATCGCGTGAAAAATAAGGATGATTCGCTCCTTTTTTAAATAAATGAATAAAGTAAAATTTTAATTAAATTTTAAACTAGTTTATAAAATTTAAAATTAATTTTTTAAAGATATTTATGCGATGAATATGTTTTTAAATGCATTTAAAAGAAAGGTGTTTGATACGTATCACAACGATAATCTTATGCTGTTATACTTACAATGAACTTCTAGTTTCCAGCTATCTTCTATTGTGCTTCCAGGGATAACTAAATTATCAGCTTGACAATAAAGAAATTTCCCATTATCTTCGCTGGTCGGCGTTAATATTAAAGTGCTTGTTGTAACACTATCACCAACTGAGATTTTGTCCTTGACTGATTTTAATTTTGTATCTCCTTTCCTCCACGTAATAACAGCGGGAGGTCTTGAGCCTGTTGTCATACAAACTAGTTCTAATGGTTTTTTAGCTGACAGTGGCCTTCTATGCCCTTCAATTCTCACTTCCAGTGGTCTAACTATAAAAGAAAAACAAATGATAATTTACTAAATTAAATGATAAGACACAGAAATAATATGTAATTATTATATTTTTAAATTACGTTTTGATGGTTTTATTTTATTATAAATTGTTTGCTATTTTTTTATCACGTGGCTATTTTTTTCTTAGAAACTTTAATCAATTTTTAACAATTATTTTTGTTGTTTTCCTTTACATTGTTCGATTAAACACAATTTCATCACTTATAACAATCGAGAATTTGATTTGACTTATAACAATCAACAATTTGAGCAATTTCCAACAATTATTTTCAAGTTATTATGCTCTTAGATTGTTAATTGAACGTTTATTGAACAATTTATAACAATTAATATTAATTTTATCTTTACGAAAAGATTTATTTTTAACATCCATTAATACATAACAATTTTCTCTGTTAAATTTCACATAGTTTGTTCAATTTATAACAATTTACACTAGATAACACTTTCAAAAATTGTTTAATAGAACACAGTTTTGATCAATTTCTGGCCATTTTTTTTAATGTTTATATCTTTTACTTGGTTTAACATTATACGAATTTAAGCATATTTTAAAGTATGCTTACTACCTAATCTCAATTTCTAAGCTTCAGGTAATTCATAAAAATTGAAGCTGTTACAGTAATAGAGAGCATAACAATAAATTATATTTAAAGGAAAGTATACAGGAAAGAAAATTAAGCGATTTTGTTTTTCGTTCAGTATATAAAGACTGCGTTGCTCTTCGGATACATCCGAAGAGACACCCTGTTAGGTGATTAATCACGTGATAAATCAGTGCCCTTCGTGACAAAATCCAATTGCACGGACTACGTCAAAGTCTCTCCTACATATCAACTATTAAGCAAGAGAAATAAGAAAAATTTACGTCTTTCTGTTAAAGAACTTTGGCACTTTTCCCAATATTCAGATATTCCAAAAGAAAATGTAAATTCTCCTTCTTTTTTCCAAGATATTCGTGCGACATTTTAGACAATTTTTACACAAGAAAAATAATAGGAAGATATAAAAAATACCTCCATTTGTTGGAGTAGATGACAAAGTAACTTGGAGTTTTGATATCCAATTTCTTAGAAAATTGAGGAATGTATATAAATAGTTATATACAGGAGAGATAGAGCAACATCATTTTAAAGTGGGACGATTCTATGTTGAGATTCATCCCGGATAAAACTATTTTTAAAAGGTTTATGCCATCTTTATATGTACTTTTTTTAGGTTTTCCAGAAAGAAAAATATAGAAAAAAATCGATTGTCATTTCCATTTGTTTCCTGTATCTACATAAATTTATCTTCCCTTTATCTAACTACTGTACAACAATAAGATTTTTATGGTAAAATCATGCAGTCCTTCAAAATCCAATATTGCTAACATACTCAATTATTCTATAATTTAGCATAAAGCAAACTCATTTATCTCTAGAAAAAAAGCTTAAATTTCGTTACTTTCTTCTGATGTTTAATTCACTTATGTTGATACAGTAAAAAATTCGTATTTTACCATAGCAGCATTAATACTTATTCTTTCTAACGACCATTCTATATCTGTTAATCATGCTGTTATAGTAGTAAAGTGACGTCTGATATCGCTGCCATTTTTTGAAGTGTTTTATGCAATATATTATGCTATTACAGCAACAAAATAGCGGATATATATTAACTTTTTTCGTCTAAGATATTGTGTAGCTGCATAGTTTTGTAATGCTATCAGAGGAACGAGTATATCTCCTTCCTCTCTTGAAGATTTTTGGATATTTTGCATTGCTGATTTTCTTATGCTATTATAATGGCAAGAGAAAAGTATGGCCGAATCTCTTCTTAAGATCTTATATAACAGTATAGTTAATTCAATTATACTGCTACAGAAACAAAACCTGTTGTCTCTACTAATATTTAATTATGTAGCAGCGAAGATTTGCAGTTTTTAGAAAAATGGCTGACATCATTTTGTTACTGCAACAGTATAATGTATATGACACATGCGAATATTAGATAAGATGAGTGGGTTCTTTCTGTATCAACCTTTATTATGCTACCATAATAATAATTAGTGTCTAATTTCTTTGGTTTACTAATACTATTGGAAAATGCATATCTAATTTTAATTATGCTGCTGCAACAATAAAAGAACATGTGAATGTTATCACCTATTCTCAGTAGTGTCGTTACTACTTCGATTTTCTGCCTGTTGATGATGCTCCGAATGAATCTCTTCTATGTTATTACAGTAACATCATCAACATAATAAAAATTGATTTCCAAGAAAATCTTCACTAATATCTAATTACGTTTATAGTATGCTACCTAAGCAACAAAATTCTTTTATATCTACACAGTATAATTAACACAAAAATGTGAAAATTCGACATTTCGTGCAGCCTTCGTTATGTTAATGCAAACGATATCATAATATTTTTTGCTGTAGTAGCGCATTAATCATTAAACATACTACTATAGCAACAAATAGGAAGCTAGCTTATCTATCGTTAATGATAGCATAAGTATCTTTAATTAGCTACTACAATAGTACTTTGCATACTTAGTCTATTGTTTCTTAGATAAATTTATGCTAATCTTTATTTATTGGATTAAAACAAGAGTTTCGTTGTTATAGTAGCATAATGTAAGCTTAATTACATATATAACAATATATATATTAATGCAATTGAATAGATTATCACTACAGTAACATTAGCTACAAAGAGTTCTCTGTGTATCTTCGTTGATTCTGCTATTATAATAATATTAAAATTGAATATTTAATTATTGATAGATTCAAAATACAATACTGACAAACAGACAGATGATTAAAACTTAGGATAATTCGCAATATAATTAGTAGATTCATCCAGAAATACATCAACAGGAGAAGAAAATCGAAGTAGCAACAGCATTAGAGCTTATAGTGACAACGTCAGACGTAATTTTGTTATTGTAGCAGCATAATAAAATTATATAAGTATTCTGCAACGTCACTAGTTGAAGATAAGTAGAGAAATTAGGCATTATTTTGTTATAGTGGCATAATAAAACTTGATATCGAAAGATAAATTATGCTAACATTTGCATATGTAATTTATATTGTACTGCTGTAGTAACAATATTACGTCTGGTATATTAGTAAAGACAGCAGATGTTGTTTCTATAACAACATAATAAAATAAGATGAGGAAAAAATACGTCTTTTTTCTCTCATTAGGAAGGTATGTAAAGAATCAGACGTGATTTTATTGCTGCAGTAGATGAGATTATTGACATAGATAGACGTCATTTTGTTACTATAATTGCATAATAAAATTAACTATACGACTACACAAGATCTTAATGAAGAGTTTTATGCTATAGTTGCCTCTTATTATTGTAACAATATTACATAATTAACAATGCAAACATCAATGGACTTGTTACTGTAGCAGCATAGCAAAAGTATTCAACAATAGAGGATTCTGAGGTGTAAAGAATCGAAATATAGTTATCAGTATGTTACTGTAATAGCTTAATAAAATTATATATCAGACTTCACTTTACTACTGTATCAGCATAATAAAATAAGATACACAAATACCCAACCTAAGAAAGGAGAGTGCATAAATACTGCTGTAGTAACAGCATAACTAAATCAACTAAGCATTTATGAGAAAGGATGGAAGTATGATTATCCTATCTCGATTCTTTCTCTTAGGCTCTTCTATAAATTTTAATATTGTAGTAACATAACATAAATACCCAACATCATCAGAAAGGATAGCAGCATAATTAGAATTGAATAAATGGATGAGGATATCACAATTAAAAATAGGAAAATATCTTCAGCATCATTATCGAAGACAAGCAGAGAAATCACGCAAAACTTCACCATAGCAGCATAATAAAACTATATAAGTAAACATTAATACTCATCAATTCTTTGGTGTCTTCACTAACAGATATCATTGTATAAAGTAGAAACATCTGTGATCTACTGGGAAATTATACCGTACACAAGTACATTCATGTAAAAAATAGGAGAGAGAGATGATATTATCTTATTGGATCAACGTCTCCATTGTCAATAGAACGTAGTAAAGATATCCTAAGTCAGTCAGTATTGAATGAAAGCCTTAGTTAGTAGAGAAAAGCGTGAGTAAATACACGATAGCTGCTTGATTCGATTATGCTGACATTGAATAAACAGGGAATACATAATAGATAGATGAAGTATAGAAACATCTTTAATATTGTGTGCATTTTTATACTATTTCTTCTCATCCAACAACAGAAATTTAAATAAGATTATTTATTTTTATATTCCTATTTTCTTATCTAATTGTTTGTTTTTCTATTTTCTCGAATAATAAATTATAAAATGCAATTTTTCCATCTCTCTCTTCTCCTCCTCTTCTTCCTCCTCACATAAAAACTATAAACGATACAAATCATACATCCTGTCAAGCATATAACGCGATATCTATGTGAAAATATAATATATATTTTCATAAAATTTCAAAATTGCATTNAATAAAATATTATAAACTTTATATAATATATATGTAAGTGAATGTAAGAAGAATTCTTTAAAAATTATAGTTGTTTATAAAAATGAGTTTTATATGACTCTAATGTGTCATAAACACGAAAAATTATACTTATTAGGCAATATAGATTAGCTTGCTCATTGGACAGATTTAATCCGAACAGAGTATTCTTGTGATGCTCTCGGGAAAAGTATCACCTCCATTCAATCTCAACCAGAAATTCTCCAGGTGACCAGAATTGCTTCAATAGTTGAATGTTCAGTATTGCTTTCTGTACTTTTAGATTGCTCCTTAACATCTTACACAAAGGAATTTGCAGTAAGGATGACTAAATTCCATTTCAAGCAATATTTTATTCTAGTCTAACATTTTATATGTTTAGTAAGGTAATTTGATAGGTAAAGTGACATAAATGAGTAAAAAAAAAAAAATTCGTAATTTTGTATATCAAATACGAATTT